ACATTTTGGCGAGTTTTTCCCGAATTTCTGTCTTAGGTACTGTTGCTTTCCCAGGGTGAAGGACATCAATGACCATTTGTTTCCTTTGAAGAAGCCGGTTGGTCATGAATTTCCGGGTTCGGATAGTTACTGTGTCATTCATGATGGCAACGGAGCCCACTTACTAGATTTTAGTGACTACATGTAAGTTAAACTACTCTGCAAACCATGCAGTCCCTTCTGGCTTTTGATGTCTAAACAGTAAACTTGTATTTATATATTACATATGTTCATGCCATTACAAACCATATTCTAGCTGTTTAATATGTAAAATCTCCATGGCCTTTTTGAGTATGATAGCTAAGGCATGCGCTGCATGTATGCTAACAGTTTTGGACAATAGTTGTCTGAATAGTGAACCAGTTTGTGTTTCTTTTAAGGAGAGGATATAGGAAACTAAAGTTTTGTAAGAATGTTTATCTGTCTTAAGAGATAATTTGTTTTACTGTCTTTTCTAAGATAACTTTTTTTTGTTTTGGGGAAAGTTCAGTTTCATGTCAGTGCTTCTGTTTTAAAGCTTTTCTCAAATTTATTTAAAAGCTTTTTGGGGCCGGGGAGATGGCTTAGTGGAATAAGCACTTCTCTGGCAAGCGCAAGCGCAAGGGCATGAGTTCAATCCCCAGTTCTGCCAAAGGGGGGGTGGGGAATACTAAAGAAAATAAATAAAAGCTTTTTGGCTTATTGCATACTACAGATATTTGTTAAGTTTTAGGAGGTCTCATTTTCCCAGATCAAAGTTACTAAAACTAAATGCTTTCAATAGTAGGAATGATGATGCTTAAATGGCTGGTGGCAAGGTAGCATTTGGAGTAGTATTATATTAACATGTTTGTAAGTGCTTGTTCATTGTGAAAATATGTACTTGATTAAAACCATATGTGGGGACCGGGTATATAGCTCAGAGGCATAAGTGCCTGCGTGGCAAGCACAAATCCTGAGTTCAATCCCTGGTACCACACACAGACACACACAAAATTCATATATGGCTATGGAAACTCCTTTGTATAGTTCAGGATATACAGGTTTTAACATGTACTTAGCTTATTGCATTAAGTTATTATTGCCTTTAGCTTAAAGAATTAAAATTATGTTTAAAGAGATCATTGAATGTTATTTTTTGAAACAACATTTTGTTGCCACTTATAAAAACACTATAGGAGCTGGGGAGATGGCTCAGTAGAATAAGCACTTCCCTGGCAAGCATAAGGGCCTGAGTTCAATCCCCGGTTCCGCCAAAAAATAAAAAAATAAAAACACTATAAATCAGTATTGGGAAAATTTTAATTTCCTAACCTATTGATACAGGAAATAAAGTATGAAAATTTAAACAGAAAAAAACCCAAATAATTGCCAATCAGAAAAATAACATTAAAGAAATTACTGCTTTTGTTATTTTGTAATATCACAGTCCCCCTGCCCCCACTCCCAGGACCTAAAGAATGTAAACACTATATTTTTATTTGAGTTTATATATTTTTAATTTAATTTAATTAAATTAATTAATTTATTTATTTTGCAGAACCGGGGATTGAACTCAGACCCTTGCCATTGCCACGGAAGCGCTTATTCCACTGAGCCATTTCCCTCGCCCCTTTATTTGACTTTAAAGTAGTGATACTTTATTTTATTTATTTATTTTTTTTTGCGGAACCAGAGATTGAACTCAGGCCCTTGCGCTTGCCAGTGAAGTGCTTATTCCACTGAGCCATCTCCCTGGTCCCTTTATTTGACTTTAAAGTAGTGATACTTTATTTCATTTTATTTATTTTTAAAATTTTTTTTATATTTTTTTATTGAGAAATAAATATGAATGAGACAGTTTCACAGCTGATTAATAGGACAGTTTTTATAGTCAATACACTGTACATTGTTATCTTCTTAGTGGTTATCCATAGTACAAGAAGTAGACAGGATATTCTGTCCAAACACTGTTAGTACCCCTCTTTCTTCTCATTGAGTTAAGTGAAAGTAGCTGTAAATTTATCCTATTTTGTATATATAAATACAAAATGATCTTTCCTTTGTATCTTTTTTTTTAAATTGATACTTTATTTTAAGCACATGTTGATCTACGTCTGCACAGCTACCTTTTAGAATCATGAAATAAGGCAAGACTTTCATACCTGTGGCATTGTGTGTTAGTAATACTGACAACATTGTTTGGAGAGTTTGTTTGCAATTCCTTGTC